ATGCTTTTCAGCTTCCAGAACTGTTTCATGACACACCATGTGAGGTATCTCAGCATGCTTCCCTACCCTCCAGCTGCAGAAAGGAACAGTTCAGCACAGACATTTTGTGTCGGGAAGTTTTGTGGCCAGGTATCCTGGAGGAGTACCTCCCAGCACACAGGAGTCCAGGCACCAAACTGCTGACCTACTGGGACTCCCCAGCTCTCCCCGTGTCCTCTGGCCTTTCTTTGGCCTCCAATGGAGGACCTGGCCCTGAAAAGACCAGTGCTGCAGCTGTTTGCAGAACTGGATCAGAGTTTCCATAGCCAAACTGGCCCATCCCAGGCAAGAGGACACAAGCCAAGCTCACTTGCCTCTCATAGCTGCTGTCTTTTCAGACTGCTCACGTGCAGATGATCTCAGTACTGGAGGCCAGCAGTGCACACAGACTGTGCTTAATGACTTCTGCCCATCCCTTACTGGATGGACTGATGTCACTTTTACATGCATTTAGGAAGATAACTTTCAGCAATCTAGTGTGAATTTAATAGCCAGTATTTCAACAGACCCTTCAAATTATGGCAAGATAGTGTTCCCAGGCAATTCCCCCTTACCTGACATGGATGAAGTACCACACCACCACAAACAAAAGTTACTGGAAGCATACTGCTTTGCTGTCCGTCTGGCCTGTTTGTCTTAACTCACCTCCTCCAGCCACAGGCCTCGGAGATCAGTGAGGCAAGGAAGGGCAGCACAGTGCAGAACAGAATGGCAGACCGTGGTGGGGAGTGGTCACTCCCAGGTGGATCCACACAGCTGACAGAAGCAGCTGACACCTACCCACTGTCATCAGTGTCGTAGAACAGAGTGCAGGAACTCAACAGAGCTGAATTTTCAGTATTGCCATCTGGAAACAGGAGTGGGTGATGCCTGCTCACTGCTTCTATCCTACACATGCACTCCATTAAACATGTTTGTTTTTTTTTAAATAAAAAAAATTTCTGGAGTGCTACTGCACTGTGACACATGCAGTTGCTTAACGTTTGTATTTTTAAAAGAGGAAAAGAAAAACAAAACAAAAAACAACACAAAAGAAAACCAAACAAGTGAAAATCAGGAAACACAGCACTTGAGAATTTGTGCCTACCTTACTCAGCTGGCAGCTCTTCCAGTCAGTACAGTCATATTTCTCTGAGCCCTGGAAACGTGCCTAGCAGAACTCTAGCAATTTACACATTTTTGTTAACTCTTGAGAAAAGGAGCTTCACATGGAGGTCTGATTTTGTCAAAAATGTCCTAATAGCTCAATTTCTTGCTCATCTTTTTCTAAAGGAACTGGCAATTTGACATTGCATGAGCTGGATAAGAAGGACTTAAAATGCTAAATTTCAGATTATGCTCCCACGATATACCTAAAAATGCTCTGGGCAAGCAGAGGATTGTCAATACATCAGCATCTGTACAGTCTGTCAAGCTAGTGGTAATCTAGAACACAAATGACAAGCAGCACAGTCAGAACCAAACTGATAGGGGGCTGGAAAGGCAACATGATATCTAGACTGCAGCACTGAGCAGCTGCAGTGTTCTTCTCCCTTTCCACCAGATATGCTCCTCAGCTTCCCTTCACCCAATGCCAACCATGGCCTCTGCCCACAGCCAACTGCTGAACATCTCTTAGATGCAGGGCAAGGACAACTCAAGGATCCATCAGCTGCCTTGCTACAAAGCTCTTCATGTGGCTTGGATGTGGTCTCAACAATTACAGGGCTGGATGAAAAGGCAGTTGAGGGTGGACTTTTCACATAAACACAATTTTGGAGTTTCTAAGCTCTTCATCATGGGCATCTGATCTAAATGTGAACTCCCCATCAATTGGGATATACTTCCGCAGACAAGTCAACTCTGATCCGTCTTGCAAGAGGTATCTCAGGGACCAGTTTCACGGTATCCCCTCTGTCCCACCTTCCTAACCATGAGGGCCTGCCCTCAGTAGCCATATGCTCTTCGACTAGCTTGGATTCACACTGTCATAACAAATAAATACTCCTAATTTAAGTTTCTCCAGGCAGTTTCTCTCCTTTCACTGCCTTGCTGTTTGCTCCCTGCCCAGTGCTTCTGACCACACGGTGTGTGCACCCACGTGCCTTTCCTGCTTCCCTTGGAAATCCTGCACATCCTGCTCTGACAACCCCACCCTCCCCTCATTTCTGAGGCTCACAATAACTCTACACATTACCAGCCACAAGCAAACCTCCAAACCAACCTATTTAAGAGTCTCTACATTTTCACGGTAACCCTCTGTGAATTTGCTATTGCTCATTTTCTTGCTTGGCAGTTGTTCATTGCCTCCTGACCTCTGGTCTTGTTCACATCTCTCCTCTGCTCGGAAGGCCCCCCGGGAGCATCCTGCAGGGCTTGGCCATGTCACCTCCATACTAGAGAGTATCTTGTAGAGACAATGCTCCTGCAATCCCCCCCGCCACAGCCAAACTCTAGCTGCGTTTGCACATCCTGTGCAAACTAGTATTGTCCCAGGAGGGAGGGGATGCCTAAGAGACTGAGATAAGGTCACTTTGTAGGCCTGCTCCTCCACCTGCCTTCCTGACGCAGCTTCTTGCTGTGAGCTGCAGGGACAATGCCACCTCGGCTCTCCTACACAAAGTGCCACCCATGCCTCTTGGGGCTGCTGCTACCAAGAGTAGCCTGCACAGAGTTCCTACCCGAGCTCATGCCCTCAGAACCCAAACAACCAACTTCAAGCTACTTGCAGTGATGATAGAGGCAAGGCAATGGCTTAGCTTCAGCTGCAGGCTTGCCCTCACGTTCACGGGCTTTTGCACACATGCAGGTTTGCATGCATGAATGAGTGAAGGAGTGTCTGATCACATGCCAGAAGTACCAAGTGACCTGGTGAGAAACAAAAGGACTGTCCCTGCAGGTCAGGGCTGGGCTCAGGCTGCCTGGCTCCCTCCTCTCCTTACCCCACCACGTCCTACCAAGCACAGTGTGCTGCAGGCAGAGGGTGTATAGTGCTATTAGCAGATGGCACTCCTAAGGCCAGTGCTGCCGATGGGTTCTGATAAACAGCCAACCTCGGTCCTCTGGACCGTAGGCTGATAGGGCTGAACTCCAAGGAAATGGGTACAAGTATTTTTGGTTTCTGAAATAAGGGGTACCTCTGAACAAGGAATATTAAAACAGTATTCATAAGATACAGAATTCTAACTTTGGAACATCAAGTCTCTTGTCTTCTGATCTTCTGCCTTCACTGACACTTTGTTTCGCACTCCCCATCAGCTTACCAAAGAGATGGTCCCATGAGCTTTAGATCCCAACTCTACACTCCAGTGAGTGTCCGTTCAACATAAGGGCAGATGCTGTTACTAGAAGCTCACAGGTAAACAGAATTATTTTGTAAGACCAGGAGTTGTAAGAACCTTCTACCCACAGCTGTATAACTGCTTCAAGTAAAGGCAATGAAGCAACAAGAGAGCAATCTAGTGATTTAATTTGGTGGCCTGATGGAAGGTGAATGGGAGTGATTCAAGAGGCTCAGAAACAGCACAGAAAATATTTAATAATAATTAAAAAAAAAAAAAAAAGGGGGGGGGGGAAGAAAATGGTACTGAGAAGGGAGTACTAATGCTCTGCAGTACGCTGCTATGAATAACTCTGGAGGTCCAATCGAATCCCACTGTTGCTAAGGAATTGTTCTGCCATCTATTAAAAACAATTGGCACCAGCGGCATCGCTCGTGCTTCCACCCACAGCAATTACCTGTCCGCGCTGGGAGGCGCCGGACCTCGGTGCTCTGGAGCCTGCAGCGCGCTGCCCACGCAGCAGTCGGGGGCCGAACCGAACCCCCCGCCCCGGGGCGCTGCCTCTCGTCCGCGCCGCACGGGCTGCGTGCACCGCGCCCGCTGCAGCACCGCGGGGCTGCACCGCGCATCCCTCTGCACGTCATCCCCTGCACGCCGCCCCGTGCGTGCCTGCGTTGGTTCCCAGACCGGGGCGGGTATCCGGGCATTGGGCACTACACAGAAACGGTGCCAATCCCTTTTCTCTGCCGCTGTGAGCCAAGCTCCCGCAGCAGGGCTCGGTTACATTCCGGTTCCCCGAGCGCCAGAGCGCTCGGCTCTCCATGCCGATGACCGCGGGTCGGGCAGGGGGCGGCACCGCCCCCCGCTGGGGCAGCTCTGTGCCGGCGCTCAGGACTCGGGCAGTGCCCGCGGTGCGATCTGCCGGGAGCGGGGCGTTGTACTTAGCCACTTACCGTCGCTGCCAACAGACACAGCGCAGAGAGAAGCGCCAGTCTATTATGCATATGCGAACCGCATGAAATACGCGCGGGCAGCGTTTGCCACTGTGAGCCGCTCCTCCCCGATCCAGCGCTCAACCCCTGATTTCGGGGCAGTTTTTAGGCAGGTGCTCTGCACCGTGACCCCAACAGCGGCTCACACACGTCATTCCGAGCTCGGCCGCTCGCACTGAAGGATTAAAGGGGGGAAAAAAAAAAGAAAAAAAAAAAAAAAAAAAGGGGAAAAAAGCAGAGAAATCCCCGCAACCGTGATCCGGAGGCAGCGCCACAGCAGCTCCTTCCCCGCGCCGGGTCCCGCTCCGCCACGCCCTCCTCCCTCACGGCCCCGGGAAGCGCCGCACCCGCTCGCCCGCCCCAGGACAGCGCCGTGTGCCGGGCGGACCCTCCCCACTCAGCTGCCTCCCCGCACTCCCCAACCCACTGCACGGCTGCCGCAGGCAACCCCGCAGCCCCGCCCGGAGCGGCCGCGCCTCCCCCACCCCGCAATCCGTGTTCCCGGTCCCGGTCCGCGGCGCTGCCCGGGGAGGGGGCGAAAAAGGGGGGACGGGAGTGGTGGAAAAACGGTGAAAGGAGCGAAGGGAGAAGAGTGGAGAAAGGCAGCGCGCGGGGGGGCGCGCGCGGGCAGCGGGAGGAGGGGCGCGGGGCGGCGCGGCGCTGGCCGGGTTCACCCGAGGACACGCGGCTCCCGCCCGGCGGCGCTGACCTGTGTGCACCCGGTAGTGCGCCTTCAGGTGCGAGGACTTGCCGTACACCTTGCCGCAGCCGCTGTATGGGCACTTGTGCCGCTTCTCGGCCGCCAGCTTCGCCTTGGGGGCGGCGGCGGCGGCGGTGCCGCGCAGGCGGGAGGGCGGCGCGGGCGCGGGGCCGGAGCACGGCGAGGTAGCTGCCGCGTCGCTGTCGGAGCCCGCGTCTTCGTCGGGGCTCTCGAGGCTGTCGCTGCAGACCGAGGGCGCGGGCAGCGGGCGGTACTTGTTCAGCTCCAGCAGGCTCTTGGCGATGGCCAGCAGGGCGCAGTAGTCCTTCCAGGCGTCCCGCGGGTCGCGCATCTCTCGGCCCGTCTCCGCCTCCCCCGGCACCTTCAGCCGCGCCGCCGTCTCGGGGGTGGGGGGTCCGGCCGAGCGGTTGGAGATAGACACCAGGCACTGCGCCGCCACGA